GCAGGAATGAGACTCAGCTACTCAGCAGGCATGAGACATCAGTAGTTGCATTGAGCTTAAAGGGAAAGGTAGAGTGGGGAATTAAAACCAGTTATGAGAAGAAAAAAAGAAGTCGGAGCAGTAGAGATAAGGATTTGTTTTTGACCCAGCTCTGGCTGGGGTGTAGATTTGTGCGTTTTTACTCTCCCCTGTTCAGGCAATGCTGTTGGGGCCAGCATCTGACTCTCCACCGCTTCTCAGTTTGCCATTTCAAATTCCCTCTTCTCTCTTCCAACCTGGTTATTTCTCTCTCTCTCCCCATGCTTGCTTCCCCAGATCCAGATCCCGAGTTGACAGCTTGCATCTTTCCTTGCAGCAGAAAGAACCTGGAGTAGGAGGCTTTTGTGGCCATCTCAAGTTAAGGAGATTCTCAAGATCTTCAGGCTCCATGTCGAAGCCAGGCATCCTACAGGGCCAGAAGAAAAGAAGCTGCCAGCCAAGCCCAACAACCATGCCTTTATCGGCTGCACTGGCTATCACATCGCAGTGCCTTCAGAGATGCCCAGCTGGTTAACTAGAGCCCTTCCGCAGTTGTCCACAGATTTAGAGACATTCTGGAGGTGTCTTTCTGCTTCCCAAAAGGAAATAAATTCTCTTCTTTTCAGCTGAAGGCTGAACATTTAAATTCTTCATCTATAGTGCGATCAAGGTGTCACAAAGGGGTGGGCAGAACGGTCACAGCCCACCACAGATGGAGATGCACTCATGGGGCTGGGTGTCCAAATAGTGCAGATGGATTTTCAAACTTCAGAGCACTTGCCCAATGCTCTTGTGGGCACCTTTGTGGGAGGACCTGCATATTCTACCCTTACTCAGTTGTCAGCTGCAGAGCTCAGCCTGTGAGGATACATAGAGGCTGCCCACAAGAGGAAAACTCCCCGGAGTCTCATTGATAGGACCGGCTGGGCTGTGCACTACATTCTACCTCTTGTAGCATCTGCGCCAGGCACCCAGAATGGCAAGACTTAACTGGGGTATCAATCCCCTCCTGACCCCCCACATCCAAAATACAAATGCACCACTATGATGCAGACTCAGTAGCACTTTCAAACCTGGTGGTTGGGCTCATCTGGAGGTTAATCCTTTAAACTGGTACAATGAACACATTCTTTTTGAGACAAAAAGCCAGGGATATCAGATGAGAAGGGGAGGTCCAGTTCTCCAGCAACCTCTGTTGGAAGGCTTTACCAAGTGAGGCAACCCTGATTTTCAAAGCTACTCTCTCTAAATCTCAGTAAGCATCCTCTAGGGAGGGTTGCAAAGCCTACACGTTCCTCATTGGCTACACCAACATGGCAAGACCACCAGAAAGGGCTGTCAGAGGAGCAGACCAAGGCTGCACAATGGCTGACAAGCATCTCAACTTGTGGGCCACGCTGCTGCCAGGAGAAGGTGCTTCTGCCCTACCACCCAATAATTTGAGATGGTAGGAACACCATTTTTTTTTCTTTCTTTCTTTTTTTCCTTTCTTTTTTTTTTTTTTTTTTTTTTAAACAGCACATGGAGAGAATCTCACTGCAGGACAGACTACATTTTACCATTAACAACAAATGTCCCTTCTTTGCAGTTGAAGCCTGAGGAAACAAACTGATCAGGTACCTTGAGAAGATGGGAGAATGACCTCTGCCAAGTCCCAA